CTTCCTCGGTAGCATATTAAACAATATTTTAGAGTAAAAAACTGTTTATTTTATATAATGTTTTCGGTTTTCGATGCAATTTTTTTTATCACCATTTGTATTTTATTATTAGTTAAATAAGAAATAATGTCTTAGTTTTTTTTCAATAAAATAATTAAATGATTTTTTAAACCATGTGCAAAACATTAAACATCTTTGTTAATCAGATTTGCCGTGGTTTATGTCAACCACAACAAATACACGTACATTACTATCCACAAAAATTATAAAAACACACACAATAATGTTTCCAGTGGGGTTATCTTTATGCGTCCATGTAATTGCTTCTCTCCACATAAAAAAAATGATTAAAATTAACAAATGAAAACGGGACATATCACATACGCATACGATCGAAACGTTCATCTCAATTTTCCTAAAAATGGGACAAATCATATTCTTTCAAGCTTTTGGCTTTTCCCGAACAAAGTTATTTAAGCACATGCCAATAATACTACATATAGTGTAAAAACTGTGAAGACGATTAATACGCGGCTCCAACGATCAACTTGTAAAACAAAAACAAACTTCAATTTTCTTTCTTAGAAAAAAAAATGATATTGCTTTTGACTTTAAATGGATCGTATCTTTTGCAACTATAGTAATTAAACATGTGATCTGCTTTAATGATTTAATCTAATGTTTTATCCACTAATCACTGTGAAAAGTGCACTTTCATTTTATCAAATCAAAGCTTCTTATAAGTCATGTCCAAAATTAACAATAGTTTACTTATTTGCTTTGTAAGTCATGTTTTTGACCAAAAATCGTGATTAGTCAGTAACTCTTGTTAACATGTGATCTGCTTTAATGATTTAATCTAATGTTTTTGTCCAGACCCCGTCTTAAACTTTTTGTAAGTCATGTCCTTTATGTTTTTTTTTGGTAATCATGTCCTTTATGTTTATTTACGAAGATACGTACAATTAAAAGTGTCTTCACAATCTGAAAATAAAGCCTCGTTAACTCGGTAGCGCATGTATTCACACCAACTACTTCATCATCGGACTCTGAAAATGGATTATTAGATAACTTATTACTAAAAGAAATCTTATTAGTTATCAAAAAAAAAACAGAAAAAAGAAATCTTATTCCAAAATTATTGCACACAAGATATAAATATACCTTTTTACTATGATATATTTTGTTCTTAATAATTCTGGAATAGATATATCTTCCTTCTTCTCTTTAAAGTACATTCTCCTTATCATCTATTTATGAGTGGTGGCAAAAAGAAAAAAGTATATAATTCACCATAAATTTTTATTGGTCCCCTTCTCAAATACTAGCTAGGACACATGTACATCATGACACATCGCCATTCATCTTTGAAGCGAGATTTTTCCTCTATCCTCGGTCATGAGATTTCAGATTTTTTTTTGCTATTAACAAGAGTTTACTTATTTGCTTTGGCATATTTTATTGAGTCATGGTTAGCAAAGGTTTCTTATATTCTTTTCTTTCATTTTTTTGTTGTAATTAGGTGGTATGCTTTAAAAATAAAACCCTTTAAATTTTATCTATAAAAAAAGAATTAACAAACTAGATCTAAAACATCGTCGACAAAAAAAAAAAAAAAGTCTAAAAACATCATACGACGATATGGTTTGCACTGTTATATCGGAGTTATTGAACATAATTTTTCATACTTACACTTATGGAGTTTGATTCCAAAAACAAAACAAAAAAATAATTTAATGCAAATTTGTGGAGGTAATTTTATCGGAGATTTTGACATGGTGTAATTAGTAGGGTTGATTTGGT